ACCCTGCCCTGTGCTCCCTGCTCCTCACCCTCACCCCTGTCCTGTGCTCCCTGCTCCTCACCCTCACCCCTGCCCTGTGCTCCCTGCTCCTCACCTTCACCCCTTTCCTGGACACCTGCCAATAGTCCTTCTCAATCTTCTCCCTGGTGTCCATGTAGAGCCTGTGTCCTCCAGCAACGGAGAATGTCCCAGCTGAAATACTTTCTGTGAGTGCTTTCGTGAGATGATTCAGTTCTTCCTGGCAGAATTTCTCTGATGCCTCTTCATTCCTCAACAGGAAATCTGCCCTCTTGAGCACTATTAATTCCTGTAAGGAAAATGAACAGAGGCGAAATGAGATGGGAGGAATAGAGAAGATACAATTCCAAAGACTCATTAAAGGGCTGGTCATTTCTCATGAGAAAGCATTCTAGTTTAATGAGACTCAGAATCAATCTGAGACATAATCTCAATCTGACTTAATTCAGAATCTTAAAACTGCACAAAGCAATGGGTAACTTGACTGTACTGATCACTAAGACTCTCTGTTAAAGGATGGCTGCATCCTTTAATGTCTTGATTCCTGCAGCCTTCACATCCTGTGGTTCTATTGTAACGATGAATGATACAACAATGAATACTAGGAGATACCAGCAATGAAACTTTTGTAAAAGGAACTTTATTTCCTAAGAATGAGAAGGTTTGTTCAGAAAATGTCACTGGCTGTGGGTGTTTTTGGGTGGGATTACAATCCGCAGACATATTGACAGAACCCACCAAAAGTATTAAGAAGTCTGTATTGTTTTTCCAACCATTAGAGAGATTTCTGGGTTAAAAGTATCTGAGGTTTGGGAAGCATTTATGTACTTTTGCAACTACATTCACTATGAGCACACAGCATGCAGCTTATTAAATAAGACACACCTGTGGTCAATGAAGGCAGAACAACAGCCTTGAAGGGGTAGAGTCAGGATAGTTAATGATGAAAACATTACCATCAGCTTCTTCTGGAATTGCTGGTTTTCGTCCTTGAAGGAATGCTCCATGAAGACAGCAATAGCTTCCTTCTCACAGGCTGTGTGCACACCCAGCAGCTCCTGGAGTGTGTCTGTGGGGAGCCTCAGTCGCTGGGCCATCTGCTCACTGTAGTGGTCAGCTGCCTTCTGCACAGCTGCTGAGTTCTCACGCTGGGCCAGAGTTGTCACCGCGTCATCCAGACAAGGCACAGCTCCACTGTTGATGGCATCCACGTAGGTCGTCACCAGAGTCCCCAGTCCTTCATGAACCAGAAGTTTTAGGAAAAGTAAATTAATGGGATCTAAGATTCTGAGACTGTGTTTTGAAAATCACACACACACACACACACACACACACACACACACACACACACACTACACATCTCTCAGCTAGAAAGATAACTTAGCAAGTTAAGAGTATATACTGCTCTTGCGGAGGACCCAAGTTCAATTCCCAGCACTCACATTGAGTGGCTCACCATAACCTGTAATTCCATCTTCAGAGGATCCAATGTCCTCATCTGGCCTCAATGGAGACCTGCATTTATTTGTACATAACTCACACAGAGACACATGCATAGTCATAACTGAAAATAATACATATATACATATCCTTATGCCATCAATTTCTTTTTTATTTGCCCTTCATTTTTATGGTTTTTCCAGTCCACAGTGATTTTTTTAAATTTATTTTTTTAAAAATCCACCTTTGTCTAATAAATTCAGGTGCCTTTGGGAAATGTAACTTACCAATTAATATTTTAATAGAAAATAAATTACACAAGTAGATAATGAAACAACATACAGCAGATCATGTTTACTGCTCACTCTAAAGTGTGGCTTTGCAGGGACTTAAACACTGGTGCTTATATTGGAGATACTTTAAACTTCAAAAAGACGTTTCACATTCTCATTTCAAAGAATAATTAATATAGAAGACCTCCCCTGTAAAAACAGTATATATCTGCTTTAGTGTTCTTAATAATGATTTATTATCAGTTGAGAGTTTCTTCAGATGTGTGGAAGCCATAGATACCAGATAAAAAGCTTGCAGTTTTGAAGGTATTGAATCCTCAGTGAATAATTATAAAATATATACATTTCTTCATATTAAGAATATATGCATACCATCATTGTGTATGAATCAATAAAAATAACATACATATTGTAATATATTCAATATACATTACTCCATACAAAAGTGTGATAAAAACACTCACGGTTCCCAGTGACCTCAATTCCCTCTCTGAGGGTCTTGATCTTTGCATAGGTGAAGACATAAGAAACAAAAGCCCTTGTTTGTTCCTGGAACTTAGGCTCCAGTTGGTCTTCTGAGATAGTCTCAATTTTTTGTAAGAGTTCTTTGTCATTCGTTGGCCGGTCAAAGACAAAACATTTCCGTTTAGGAAAGAAATGTCGGATGCACTCCCTGGGCAAATTGGATGCTTGGACTCTGGGATTGTTGCCTAGTGTCGGGGGAAACAGAAAGCAATGGGAATAGTCTTAGAGCAGAGAGCAAATGCTGGAGGCTCTTGTCTATGTGAAGTGTCCTGCACTCATAGGTCTCTTTACCATAAACATGCAACACTTCTTTGCATGTCAAAAGTATAGCAAGTTTGTACTTGGTAGAAGTCTGGTGAAATATTTCAGGAGACACTTGACTCCACTGGAAGAGCTTATGGCTGAAATCCACAACCTGAACATGGCATCAAGCATACTGTAGTTGTGTGTCCTGTTGCCTGAACAGCAAAAGGCTTAATGTGATTTCTGGCCCAATCATTCTTTTGTAATAAAGGAGCTGTGCAACTCAAAAGAAGAGTCACACAGATGAATGGAACTAGAAAAAAAACCATCCCGAGTGAGGTAACCTAGACCCAGAAAGACAAACACGGTATGTACTCACTCATAAGGGGATTCTAGATGTAAAGCAAAGGATAACCAGGCTACAATCCACAACCCCAGAGAAGCTAGGTAACAGGGAGGACCCTAAGAGTGACATGCATGGATCCCCCCCCCACAGGAAGGGGAAATAGATAAGATCTCCTGAGTAAATTGGGAGCATGAGAGGAGGTAAGGGGAGGTGGGAAGAGAACATGAGGGAATGGGATGGTTGAGTTGGGGCAGGGACAGAGAGGGAGAGCAAGAAGAGAGATATTTTCATAGAGGGAACCTTTATGGGGTTAGGGAGAAACCTGGTGCTAGGGAAATTCCCAGGAATCCACAGGATGACCCCAGCTAAGACTCTAAGCAATAGTGGAGAGGGTGCCTGAACTGGCCTTCCCCTGTAATCAGATTGATTGATGACTGATGTACTGGGTAGCTGTTCTCACCATGCCCTGAAGCACCACCCCTAGTAAGGTAGTAGGTAAATGTTACACCTGCCTATGACCTTGAGGTCCATGCCCCTGGGGCATGGCCACTGGGATCTTTCAGACCTAGGATGTACATGCACAGCTCCCTCTTTGCTCCTCATGGTTTTGGATGCTGAGACGGACCAGGGCTGACCTCTCCAGAGAACAGCGTTGGACCGTGCCTCACCCTTCCAGGATCCTGTGACAAATTCCTTTATTTTGTCTTGTGAGTTCCCTTTCCTAATAAATTCCTTTGCCCCTAAAGTAGACTCCATGGATTTCTCCCATTATCTAGTGCCTAATGCAGGGTAGGAACCCACGACCCTGAGATTAAGAGTCTCATGCTCTACTGACTGAGCTCACAACTGCCTGATACCCTCTTCTTGTGTTCAGATGTGCATGCCATGGTACCCATGAACATTACTCAATGATCAACTTTGTACTGAAAACTCTCCATGACAGTTCCAAGATGAGATGGTCCATCATACTACACCTCTAGCTAGAATCTCAGACAATCTTACCCATTACTCTGAGACTGGTTGCAGAATCTATGGCTAGTCCTACTGAGACCTAACTATCTGAGCCTTCTTATATGACCCCACAGAGATACCATTGCCCCCTAAACATCAGGAAGCAATTCCTATTTAAGATAATTTGTATATTGATAGAGATACAGAACTATATTTGTTGTATTATACATATATTTCTACTCCTATTTGATATATCTTGTATATTGATACAATTGTAAAATTATAGTTGTCATACTGTATGTATGTTCTACCTCTGTTTAGGATATTTTGTATATTGATATATATTTAGGAATATTGTCATATTGCACAGTGTACTATACATTTCTACCTCTGTTTAATATATTTTGTTTATTGTCACAATTTTGAGGTCATTGTCCTCTTCCTGGACATTTGTTTACAGGCTGTTTACCTTGTTTGTATGAAGCCTTCGTCCTTAGGTTATTTTGGGTAGATAAGACTTACAGATTTATAGTCAAATGCTTGTCATCTCTATAGTTACATTAGTTAGGTTGTCCAGATTTACAGTTACATAGGTCAGATGGATAGGTAATCTTCAAACACTTCATAGACCTAGAGAATATGGCATTTAAATAACTTAGAATTCGCTGATGTGAGACACAATTGCTCCTGGCAGCACCGACCTGATCCAGAGAGAATTGTGGGCTTCTAAGACACTCTGGTTGGAAGTTTTTCTTCTTCCTGGTGCATAATGGCCTACTGGGCAAAGAACTGCCCTTGCCTCAACTGCTGACAATACAATGCTGTCCTTTCTGGACGAGTGGGACACAAGGAAAAGCAACTACCAGACTCTGCCGAGACACAGTAAGATGATCTTTCAAAGTACCTGCTTCTGAAAATGGTCTATCAGATATTCTAGGCCTGTAGCCAAATTGGATGCCCAACAGTGCTGAGAAACTAGGTGACTGTCTAGGCTGCCAGCTGTCTCTGTCTATTCTCGAAAGATTTCCAAAAGTTGCTTGCGTGCATTTTCCGATTTCTCAGGTATTATTATATTCATTCTCAAGTCTTTGATGGGGTTGAAAACTAATAGTTACAGTTCTTGTTGTATCTTAACTAGAACATATTAAGTACTAGATTCAGATTCTTCAGGATAGGATAGCTTTTGGAATAATCTTTGTAACATGGCATTTACCTATGTTCTAGACATCTCTGGATTTTAGTATGCTTGTTGTTGTTCTTGTTGGTTGTGTCCCATTTGTTTGGGTCATTACCCTTTATTTCTCCTGGACAATAATTAATAATCATTCCTATTATATATAGTTATATATGATAAGTTAGGTTAGAACTTTCTTATTTAGACCAAAGGGGGAGATGTAGTGGGTAGCTGTTCTCACCATGCCCTGAAGTGCTGTCCCTAGTGAGTTAGCAGGTAACTGTTACACCTGCCTATGACCTTGAGGTACATGCCCCTGGGGCATGGCCATGGGACCCTTAAGACGTGGGATGCACATATGTGGCTTTTTCTTCAATACCTCATGGTTTTGGATGCTGCAACAGGCCAGGGTAGAGCTCTCCAGGGAACAGCATTGGACTATGGCCTCACCCTTCCAGGATTCTGAAATAAATTCCTTTATTTTGTCTTGTGAGTTCCCTTTCTTAATAGATTTCTTTGCCCCTAAAGTACACTCTGTGGATTTCTCCCATTAGACTACCCCAATTGTAATCATAGAACCTTCATCCAGTAACTGATGGAAGCAGATGCAGAGATCCACAGCCAAGCACTTCGCCAAGTTTCTGGAGTTCAATTGAAGGGAGGGGGTAGGGATTATATGAGCAAAGGGGTCAAGATCATGATGGGGAAACCCACAGAGACAGCTGACCTGAGCTAGTTTGAGCTCACTGACTCTGGACTGACAGCTGGGGAACCTGCATGGGTCTGAACTAGGCCCTCTGAATGTGGGTGAGAGTTGTGTGGCTTGGGCAGTTTGTGGGGCCACTGGCAGTGGGATCAGGATTTATCCCTGGTGCATGAACTGGCTTTTTGGAGCCCATTCCCTATGGAGGGATGCCTTGCTCAGTCTTGATACATAAGGGGAGGGACTTGGTCCTGCCTCAATCGATATGCCAGACTTTGTTGACTCCCCATGGGAGACCTTACCCTCTCTGAGGAGTGGATGGGGGCAGGGTGGGGGGAAGGTGAGGGTGAGTGAGAGGAGGGGAGGGAGGGGGAACTGTGCTTGGTATGTAAAACAAAAAAGACCTTTTAAATTAAAAAATAATATAAAACACACAAAAAAAGAAGAGCCACAAATAAAGGGTAATAGAGTATTAGACAGCAACATTAGCAATTCAAAAAACAATGCCATGGTCATCAAAGAAAAAATGCTTTGATTCTAAACAGAACTCATCTTTAAGGCAAACATACAAACAGAATAAAACAGTGGTCACTAGAGCTGGGAAGGAGGAGGCCCACGCTGGACAGGTGGCGCTAAGTGACTCATGCAGGATGCAGAGGACTGGAGAGCCGATGTGCAACACCAAGTCAGGACTCAGTAAAACTGTCGACTTGAGCTGTTTATCGTAAACCTCACCGCGTGTGACGACAGGTGTGTTACATACATCACTTACAGTGTCCACCTTAGTACTCATTTGTGTTCTAGAACATCAATTTATGAATTTCAAGTGCAAACAATAAATCTCACTTTTAAAATTTTACACAGTGCTATGGTTTTTTTTTTTTTTTTTTTGGTTTTTCGAGACAGGGTTTCTCTGTGTAGCTTTGCGCCTTTCCTGGAGCTCACTTGGTAGCCCAGGCTGGCCTCGAACTCACAGAGATCCGCCTGGCTCTGCCTCCCGAGTGCTGGGATTAAAGGCGTGCGCCACCACCGCCCGGCCACAGTGCTATGTTTATCAAAAGCCTCAATGACGCACTGTAGCCAGACTGTGAATCTAAGGTTTTCACTGCTGTTTCAGAAACTCTGTGAGATGTGGACCGCAGTGCCTAACAGATGGCTCGTCTGCCTACCACAGTTTCAAGACAGCAACGAGAGGAAAAGGAGACAGAGGAGAGCTGGCATTCCTTCACAAGGCTTCATCAGCTCCTCTCTCAGGTTAATAATGTCCATGCAAATGGTTGATAGGCCATTTAAATGCCATTAATATAACAGATCCTGACACTATAGCATGAATAAAAATGGGTGGCTATGACTGTCAAATAGACTATTGTGATGAATTATGATGGATACTGAGAAGACATAGACTGAAAAGACTTGTCTGTTGGTTTATTTAGCACACAGCTGTTTTGCAGACGACATAACCAACCCATCATTTAAAAAGCTATATTCCTCCATGAAAAGAATAATGTAGAACAATGTGAAATATATTCTGAGATGGGCTATGTATGATAAATTTATGAGTAAGAATTATGTTGCCAACTATTTCTTAAAGGAAGGCAGACACAAAAACAGGCAATACAAATGTCTGGACATGGAGAAGTTTAGAAGCTTTATATTCCAGATGCTAAAGTACAACTGTAAAGAACTTGGCTTTGAGTAATTTTGCTGTGCTCTAGGCTCTAATTTTCTCAACAGAAATTAAACACCAGTTCCCAGGCATTATCAGCCAATGACCTATCAACGTTCCTGCAGATCTCCCACCCACTGCAAATATGAAAGGATCCCACAGAGGATGGGAGCAGCTCAGCAGATCCCAGCCCTTCCCAGCCCCCCACCCCAGCATTCCCTGTACCTGGGATCAGCTTCAGTGCATTCTCCAGGTACTGGTCCTCTGTGATGACTTCTCCATTTAACTTCATCTCCAGCATGAAATCCCGAACAGTCCAGATGAAGTCTGGAAAGAAACTCACAAACTCAGTGGAATTCTTTATTCCATCAGGATTTGGGGAAGACTTTGCCCTGATCAGCTCGGTGAGTTCTGTGACATAACTGGCATTCAGTTAAGGAAAAGTGAATTCATCCACACATTCTCATGATTCTCTTCTTAAAAATAAACCACAATAAACACTCTTTTCTTCCCCAGGTCTCCTCTGCCCCACCAAAAGCCACACAGCAACAGGGCAGGTCAGTGCCTCCATATGCATTCCAGAGCACTCAATGAAATATGACGGCTCAGGTCCTGCAAGGATACTGCAGCTGCTCCAGGGCCTGGTGGTTGATGGTGTTCATGCTGTTGTAGACGAAGGTGCTGCTCAGAAGCACAGCCAGAGCGAAGATCCAGGAGTCATTCTTAGGGTCACCCTGGAAGACACATGAGGGCAAAGGGCTGAGGAGAGCACTCCTCAGGGAAAGCAATATGCAGTATAGGACCCACGTGTATTGTATATTTACATGAAAAGGCTTTATGGGTTTTAAAAAATTCACATACACACTCACGTACACACGTAAAGGTCTGGGGACATAAATCAATGGTAGAGCAGGTACCTAGCATATGCAAGGCCCTCATTCAACTCCTAGTCATGAGGAAGACAGAAAGAGATAGAGAGCCAGAGAAAGTCTATAGGTCTCTCATGTACCATTTCAGATAAGGTGTTTGTGGTGGAATATTATTTTAAGATGTGTTGTAGCAGGAATCTTAAAAGGTACTTATTAATAAAAATCAAACATGAGCCAGGTATTGGGGTGAATGCTGGAAGATCAGAGAAGCAGAAAAAGCCACAGCTAACCTCACCTGGCCAACTTCTCAGCTGATCCTGTTTCCTCAGACTGGATGCCTCTCAGCTGAACTGTGCTGCTCAAAGGCCTAAAAGCTTAACCAGCGACTAGTTCCTGGTTTTCACACCTTATATATCTTTCTGCTTTCTGCCCTCACTCCCTGGGATTAAAGGCATGAGTCACCATGCCTGGCCGTTTCCAATGTGGCCTTGAACTCACAGAGATCCAGAGGGATTTCTGCCTCCAGAATGCTAGGATTAAAGGCGTGAGTGCCACCATTTTCTAGCCTCTGTATCTAGTGGTTGTTCCGTTCTCTGACCCCAGATAAGTTTATTAGGGTGCACAATATTTTGGGGAACACAATACCACCACAATGTGTTACATTTGATTATGCTGTGTAACACTTGTTTAATGATGCAAAGATGTGTTGCATTTTTTTATGTTGCATCTGTATAACTCTGTGAAGCTGTGTTACTTTGCCTGTCTAAAATACCTGATTGGTCTAATAAAGAGCTGAATGGCCAATAGTAAGGCAGGAGAAAAGATAGGCAGAGCTGGCAGGCAGAGGGAATAAATAGAAGACATCTGGAGGGGAGAGGAGAGGATCAAGGGGCCAACCACCCAACTACACAGCCAGCAACAGAGTAAGAAAGAAAGAAAGATTACAGAAATAGAAAAATGTAAAAGACCAGAGGCAAAAGATAGATGGGATAGTTTAAGAAAAGCTGGCTAGAAACAAGCCAAGTTAAGACCAGGCTTTCACAAGTAAGAATAAGTCTTCTCATGTGTGATTTATTTGGGAGCTGGGTGCCGGGCCCCCAAAGAGCCAAAGAGTAAAGTTTAAAATAAAAACAACCAACAATATGTATTTCCTATTCAAAGACAGCAGACATAAATGAAAATTAACAACTTTGACAATTATAAGGAGAATTTCTTCATTTATGAGAGGATTCAAATATTTACGATGTTTTCATTTCCTCAATTATATGAAATAAGATAATATACAAAAAAACTAGCACTGTATTGGGTTCTCAGTAGGGTGCTCAGTGAAGGATATTGGAATTTCTTACTCATATGTGCTATAGTATATAATATATCGCAATAAGTACAACTCATGAGTCTAATTATATCTAATTAAATTTAACAAAGATGTTTTTCAGAGAACTACTGTTTTTCCTACTGTACTTATGTGGTGGTATTGTGTTCCCAAAAATATTGTGTACCTTAATAAACTTATCTGGGGTCAGAGAACAGAAAAGCCACTAGTTAGGCAGTGATAGCACATGTCTTTAATCCTAGCATTCCAGAGGTAGAAATCCCTCTGGATCTCCGTGAGTTCAAGGCCACATTGGAAACAGCCAGGCATGGTGACTCACGCCTTTAATCCCAGGAAGCAAGCCTTTAATCCTAGGGAGTGATGGTAGAAAGCAGAAAGGTATATAAGGTGTGAGGACCAGAAACTAGAGGCATTTGGCTGGTTAAGCATGTGGCTGGTTAAGCATTCGGCTGGTTAAGCTTTCAGGCT